TTCTTAATGCTTTACCGACCGACCATGTCCAATAAATAATTGAAATAATTTAGTTCAAAATTAAATTTAATAGAAAATTGTACCTGCAAACCATAAGATACGTGTATGCATATGTATATAGCAGAGGTATGATTTTAATGAGCTTAAAATAAAGTTTTGTATATTTGTGTCTATTAAAGTATAGAATTCAAAATACTTTTACAAATCTTATTTTAGATAAGGATAACATTGGAAGTAGTCGATAAATTCTGGTCTAAATGCTAAAGGGTCAATCCTTTCTGTACCAGCACTCCATGAGCAAATTAAGAAATAAAAATATTGAATGTTGTTGAACCAGATAATCCTAACTAATCAATTTTACAAAGTTTCAGAAGCCGATATTTACCTTATCGCGATTTACAAATTTCCTGATATCGGATTTTGGTTAATTTACACAGAATAAGAATATGATAATGCTTGATATTAACATTTATTATACCATTCATGCCTATAGGAATTTTGAATTTCTAATAATTAACAAATCTATGTTGTATTTACTGAGACTACTATTACTGTAATGGTACTATTAATCACTACCATTAATTATAGATCAAATGTTAGATTGTATTATCCTTTTTCCTCATTAGTATTTGATTTATACAAGTAAATTTTCTTGAATTATTTTTTAAAATCAAATTGCACCTTTAAATCGTCAATTAATAAAAATTTTAATAGTTTTATGAATAGTGTAACATTCAAAGTCTTGTAATTAGAATACCAAATACACCATGCTTTATCGCCTTCTCTATTTTAGTTCAGAAACCTGCTCTATGTTACCTAATAAGTATAATGATATACATATATATGAGAAAATTTACCTTAATCTTAAACAATAAAATATAACAATATAACAGTATTTCAATCACATTTTTGAAAACTTTTTTCAAAATATTCAGGGTATTATGAAAGTTAATAGAATATTTTAATATTTGGTTATAAAATTGAAATAGGTACAGAATATAAAAATATATATGTATGTATATAAAAAAAAAACAAAAACTTAGTGAAATTATTTAATAATTATTTGGTCATCATCATCGCATATTTATATTTGAAGGAATGAGGCTTACATATGTAAATCTATATAGTTTCCAGTCTATATATACACGTATTTGTGACAAAATAAAATAATGAATATCAAAAATTTTTATTATACGAATTTAATGTCCTACTGTTGCTTCTATTGTCTTTATTTTTCTTTTTTTTTTTGTTTTACTTAATTTATTTAACTTACTTTTTGATTATTACCTTCGATCATGATTATAATGATGATATATTATATTTTTTGGTATATACTTAATTATATGTTATGCTTAAACATACATACATAATATAAATTTACACATAATGTATACATTATATAGACTGTATATAATATTATAAAAGAGGTACCACCGTATTTGATCTTGATGGGAATATTTGAAATTACAACAGAAAAACATCAAAAAATAAATAAATAAATTATTTATTTAAATAAAATTGGGCTTAATGTAATGCCTCCAGTAAACACTATGTATGAAAACAATATATTATTTTAATATATTGCAAAAAAAAAAGAAGGAAAATGAAAATCATAACATGGCATAAAGTATAGGAAAACTATAAAATACAGAAAACAATTTATAAGAAACCAGTTATCATTATTGGTGGGCCACGCGACTCATTCCATACTCTTACCCAAATGGTGATTTTTCATTATTTTTTCTTTTCTCTTTACTCTTACTATATTTAATTTTTTTTTTTATTTTTCTTATATGTTTACATATCGAAGACATTTTCATTATTTTTTTTTTCTGTCTCTTGTTTCGGTGTACATTGAACTTCCAAAAAAAAAAATTAAGAAATTTTATATTAAATTTTATATTTTGATCATTTACGATATCTTATCAAGAAGTTTTTCAAATTTGAAATTTGTTGTACATACTTTATTTTTTTCGACAAATTACAAACTTAACATAAAAAATTATAATTCTAAAAATTCTTTAGTTTTTGCAGAAAAACTGCTTAAGTCGAAAATAACGTGATAACTCTTTTGACTAATTGAAGGTCAAAACTTTTAGCTATAACTAAAGAATATTGATCGAATGGTCGAATTCCCTGAAGCAACTGAAAAGAGTTCAAATGTACAAACAAGAATTTAATCGATTTTGAAAAAATTTTAAAATCGTAAAATTTAATTGTTAAGAAAACTTTTAAATTTTTGAAATTTTAACTCGAAGGGGTACATCAATAGAAGAATTATCAAACCTAATTTGTAACTATAAGATTTGAAGTATTTATTTTAAACTTATTAATTAATCTATTATAATGTATAAAATGTATAAAACTTAAATATAGTTTTATATAGCAAGTACAATTATTTTGTAAAATTTTTGAAAATTTTACGTAAAACGTGAATATACGTTTCATAATTTAGGTCATTCTTAACTACAAAAGATGGAAACATCATTGCATAATATATCGCAAAAAAATCTTGTTGGTGAAGTTTTCCCAAATTTATCGAAAAAGAAGACAAGTGGAAACACAAATCACAAATTATTTTTATTTTATTTGGTAAAATTTGAAGACGAAAAATTCAAAACTTATGAAGTTAAATTATAATCCGACCTATGTACGAATATAGTAATATTTAAGAAACAAAAAAATAAAAGCAAAATTTTTTTTTTAATTTGTTCCAATTTTTTGGTCCATTTACCCGCAAAAATTTACGCATGCAAAAATTAATAATCGTAAAGAAAAATTTTAAAACAGCAAAAAAAAAGGTTTACATATATGCTGCAATATGCAAAAATTATACGATCGATCAATACGCCCCAAGGGCTCAAATTACTGTACTTGGAGTAAAGAAACAAAAAAAAGGGATCCTGATGTTTACATTAGTTTTTTTTTGTGTTCATTCTTGTTTTTTTTTTAATATGTACGTTTGTTCACATGTATATGCATGTATTCTCGTTGCCCAGCTATATACATACATGGATTATTAAAGATTTATCAAGCACTAAAGTTAAAAAAGAAATTCATTTTTTTTCTCATATTAAACTAAGAACAAAAACTTAGAGCTAACAGTAAAAAAGAAAAAGGTCCAGCCGGTTATAGATACTGGGTTTAAATTTTTTTTTGATGTGTTATAATTTGTATAACAGCAGAATAGCATTGACTCATGTGTATGAGAAAAGATGTGACTCTTTAAATATATTATCTTGCTGTTTTTTTTTTTTATTCTAAAAAATGAGATCAACTCTTTTTTTTTTGAAATAAAAAAAATAAAACCTATGGTATAAACAATGTATAATTCGATAGTAATATTAAATATTGAGAGCAGGTGTTATTTTTTATCTTATATTCACATATACTATTATACATTTAAAAAACAAAGGATTAAAAAATAATGAATTTTTTCCTTTAAACTTAATGGAAAAAAAAATAATTTAAAAAACTAAAAAAGAAGCAATTATGGAATTAATCAAATCGGACTAATTAAATTTAGAAAAACTGATGGAAACAGCTGATAAATTAAGTCTTAAAAAAGTTCTTAAAAAATACCTAAACTGCCGTAATAACAACCGTCATACAGTCATATGAAAAACTCTGATCTAACTAATGAATATCTTGTTAATCTTTATTAGCTAGATTACCAATTAGCATGCTTAGATTAGATTTTTAGATAATTTTAAATAATAAAACATTGAATTTATTTTTTCAGAAATTATTCGATGTTGCTATTTTCTTTTTTAAATAATTTCTCGACAGATTTTAAAACTACATCATTTTCATTTAAAACATCAATATCAAAATTAATATCACTTTCAACATTATGTCGACAAAATTTCTTTATCCATTCCTTTTCCTCAGCTGAAATTGTACAAATGTATTCTTGTGCATTTGGATATTTATAAATACTTGAATTTTCTAGTTTTATAAAACCGATTCCAGTATCATAATATCCTTTTGGTACATTAAATGTTGGTTTTTCTTTTGTTTCATATGATTCATATACAGGTGAAACACCATATTCACGTTCCTCTTGATATCTACGATCTGTTTTTTGACAGTATGACCAATTGTCATTATTTTTGTACTCTAAACCGCATGGAAATGTAATTTTTGTATATTTTTTACATTTACCATTTATAAATATACCAGACAGATGAACTTTTCCTGGTGTTATAATAGTTCCTTCACCATGAAAATTCCCATTCTTAAATTCACCATGATATTCTGTACCATCTGGATATGTGTATATACCATTACCATTCCAAGAGATATCATTTTCTCCAACATATTTACTACCCGTACAATAAGTTTTTGCAATTTTTCGTAACATTTTCTTTATTTTTGCGGAAATTTGTGAATATTTATGCACAAAAATTCTCAAGTTTTGTAAAAGAAAATTATATAGGCATAAGTGAATATAAAAAATCTAGTAAATTAAAAACAAAATCAATTTAAAAATAAAAATTTAGAAATTTTGTTTGACTTTAAATTAAATTTGATTTAACTTTTATTTGACATTACATATATACACATGTGTTTATTTTTAAAAATATGTACACCTTAGTACCTTCAGCAGTTTGTCCCTTGCAATACTTGTCCTAGAGGTCTAAATACGAGCCCCGGATATCCTTGGGATCTCCCTAGTTCAATCTTGAACACATCCTAGTCGCTGTTAATCTCAGCGACGTACGAACTGATAAAATCTACGGAGAGCCGGTGGTCGAATTTTAACACACCCCCGATTAACTCAAACGAATCAAAGCTCAGGACATCCTTAACTTCGGTGGTTATTAAATGCTCGACTACCATTTCCGATAGTTCCACTAATTATGAATTTTCAAATTTAATTTACAATTACAAATTTTATTGAAATTAAATGTCATAATTTTTAATATCAATTACATTAAATTGAATTAAAAGTTATAGTAAATAATAAAACGAATACATAGCTGGATAATTTTATTTGTTTAATTTCTAAACATTTTCCAAAACAGCTGACATATCAAATTGTAGCAAAACGATTAAGTACGATGTTGCTGCGCTTACAGCCTTAAAAAAAAGAGAAAAACAATTATGTATATATGTACTTAAGCATCGTAATTAATATAATACCCTGCACCGAATAATACCCTGCACTTTGATAACCTGCGTTTAAAAATTTGTTTTTGAAATATTTAGAATTAACTTTGAATGCTAAATGACAATTACTTGAACCACAAATTACTCAAACCACTCAATAGAAACACGACCGCCGAATTTCATGAACCTAGCCTTAATATTTTTCAAAATATTTAAAATTAACTTTCGAAGTTGTACAGCAGCTACTCAAACCTGTCGAGCATTTCGCTAAAACTTTAGTGTTATATCTGATCTGAAATTTGACACACGTTTGCCGTGTTTCGTGAATCTACCTTTATTATTTTCCCAAATATTTAAAATTAACTTTCGGAGTTGTATGGCAGCTACCCAAACCAGTAGCGCCATTTGACCAAAACTTCAGTGTTATATCTGACCTGAAATTGGACACACAACTGCCGTGATTCGTGAATCTACCTTTATTATTTTTCCAAATATTCAAAATTAAATTTCGGATTTGTATGACAGCTACCCGAACCAATACAGCCGTTCCAATAAAATTTTTAGAATATATGTAGAATATAATTGAACATACTTGTACAAAATTTGGTATTAATATCCTATTAATTTTTGTAATAGTTAAAAAAACTCTTTGAGTTTTCGAACCCATTTTCCGAATTTGTCCAATTATAATAGCAGTCGTCGTTGGTACAAAAGAAAAAATTCGTGCAAATTTATGTCTATACTCCTTACGAATTGAAATTTATAAGGTCCACCTTATCATCTTATAATATTATAATATAACACTTACCGAAAATATAAATGTATAATCTAGTGAAAATAATCCGGTGCCACTGAATTGAAAGTAACGTTCCCAATGTAAATATTGCAATGTAAAATTTTTCATTTTTGTGTAATTATTATCGTCCTTTAGCATAAATGATGGTTTCTTTTGCATAATTTCATGTACAAGAATTGCCGTATTTCTTGATTCATTATGTGCTTGGCAACATAATCTTAGAACCAAATAGGCAACTAACATAAAAAAAATCTAAAATATAAGAAAAAAGATATTTTGTAATTTATAAGATAATACCAAATTACTATTACTAATATATTAATATTAATTTTACCATCCATGCAACAAATGTTATGGCTAAATTGTCAATTACTGCAAATTGACCCTTTATTGTAAATATAACTTTAGTTATCAAAAATATTCCAATAATACTAATTATAAATGTTGATGTCATATAAGTAACAACTTGTGTTGAAAATTCACGATTCGAATAGATACCTAATTCATTCAGATGATTATGTAATTTAAATAGTAACGCCAAATATATTTCATATCTGAAGAAAATAATAAGAATAAATTTAAAATTAAATTTTGTACTTTCTTAGATTAAATAAGAAAATTAGATGATAATTTAAAATATAAATAATATTATAGTGTGAGCCATTTAATACGATGTTTAATAATAATAATTGCTAAGTATGTTAATTTTTATATTTTTGAAATTGAGATTTCTATTTTTCGAAAAATTTGATGGCAATAATAATAAAGCATACTAAACTATTAATGAAACAATGAACTGGAAATTACAACATAACATATATGAGCTCTGATTAAACATAATAATTTTATAAAAAAAAAATATTGAAAATATTTAATTAAAACTCTATTGGAATTATTAGAGTAATATTAAATTAATATTTCATAAAATATATGTATGTATGTATATTCTATTAAATATAATTTACCCTATTTGTTCTTCCTTATATGACGGCATTGTATTTCTAATTTTATTGATATCAGCTGCTTTTTTCCAATCAATTACATTATTTTTAATTTTTGAACCAAGTTGATTATTATATGTTTTAAATTCATCTGATTTATTATTAAACAAATTCTCAATATTAAAAACTTTCATATTTTTCATTTTAAACTTTGAATCAAATATTTCATTTTTCAATTTTTCATTACTTATTTTAATATTGTCAACATTATCATCACTGGTACTGTCATTCTTATCACCATCATCATTTTCATCACTTTCATCATCTGATGAATCGAAAATATCTTTAGAATGTTTTGATGCTTCATCATCAATTAATTTTAAAATAAAATTGATTTTTCGAAAACGTTCTACAATTTTCTCAACCAATATTACTAATTGCAATTCAGCAAGTGCACTCGATACAAGTGGAAATATTAAACCACATATTGACAATAAAATTCGGATAAAATCTCTTTTATAACTTCTAAAAAAAAAAAATAAAATTAAATTTGAATTATTGAAAAAAATTTTAAATAAATTTAATTTGTTGATGTTGATTATAATAATATACATACATATATATTATTGTACACTGAATTAAAAAATGAAATCAGAAAAATCTATACTCAGGATAAAAAAACTGAAAATCGACTTTATCCCAGAAAAAAAAAGTCATAATTCAACTTCCGACTTGCGACTCATGCAATAAAATATTTACTGAATATAGAAAACTTCAATAAACCCGATTATTATAAATTATAATTAATTAATAAATAATAACTTACAAAAATTTCCATCTGATATCCCATAATAGTGCCAAAACTAAACTTATAGCTGTCATAATAAATACGGCTATTTTAACATAATCTTTTTCCAATAAAATTTTTTCTTTTAATTTTACTAAACGAAAATTTGTATCAAAATCATGAATTTTGTTAGAAAATTTATAATAAAATTTCTTTTTTCCAAATGCACAATAGACGCATATCAAATAACTTAAGATACCCAAAAATAATAGAGTTGTATTACAAATCAAACATACATGATGACATTCTTCGATTTCTAATATAGTAGAATTATTCAAAAATATAGCAGTAAGTGATGCAATATATGCAATCGGTATTAATAGAATGCCAAAGAAATCTTGTGTTTGGGACTTTTCATCATTATGATTTAATGGTAAAACACCAAATATCTGAAATTTAAAACATTTATTAGAATAAATATGATATTTAATGAACATGTACATACATATAATATTCGTATTTATTAAAATATAACAATTATTTTTAAGAGAATTACTCGAGTTTAATGAATAATATCAAAGGTGTATTCGTTCAAATTTTAGTCAAGGTGTATTCTATCTCCGAAACTAGTTCAAATCAAATTCAAAATCATCATTCAAAACTATATAAATCAAACTGAAAAATGATAAATTAAACTTGACATGCAATTAAAAATTTTTAATTTCAGATAATGTGTCTCATTCTGAAATTGAAATTAATTAACATAGATTATTAAAAACTATAGGATCAAACCAATTTAGAATAAAATTGACTCAATATAGATTTTATTAACTGATGAAATTTTTTGAAATTCAATATTTGAGTGTTGTTTGGTAGCGAAAGTAATTGACAAACTTTTTAGAGAAATCAGATGATGTAAAGTTTACCTGTACTATCCAGATTTACATTCCTCTAGTTATGTTGACCAAAAACTTACTAACGTACTTTTAAATTTGAAAGAAGTAATTGAAAAGTATTTTTCTGATTTTGTGCACCATTTTTGTAAACTTGATAATACACCTTGCGGTCGATTATGTGCTGAACACATGAAATGCGGTGTGTCAAGGCTGATTGTTTTTGTTTAAGAGAATCAAGAGAATATTATAAATATTAACACTTCATAACTTTTTAATGTGAAGTCAATCATCTCATTTTCCCAATAAGACTCATTAATAAATTAAATAAAAAACAATTTTACTATTTTAATTTTTATTATAATTATTTTAAAAATTAAAAATTTAATTTTTAAAATAAATTTATATGTTTTGCAATATTTTTTTAATTATTGAAACTGCTATAATCCATCCGAATGTGAAATATTTTATAGAACATAAACAAAAACCTGAATTAGCTTCTACTTGATAGCACTTTAATATATTGTGTTGATCTCCATATTTTAATTTTAAGTTACAAATATTATATCCACTCCAAATGCATCCTTTTAATTTAAAATTCTCTTTCGAAATTGTATTATTGTATTCTATATCAAAGCAATCATATTTTGGTGACACCGGTATATCTAAAGTAGCTCCAAATTTATTTTCAAATTTGTCTTCTAACGTATTTCCAAATGTGTTTAACATCATAATCGTTATATAGTTATCACAAGCAACTTGTCTGATAGTTTGCATTTCTCCTTTAGAATTTGATATGAAAAATGGACAAACTGATTCAGCATGTAGTTCTAAATTTAAATGAAATTCAGATTTATTGTTTCAGATTAATATTGTAGAATTAACTATGAATTTTATTTCACTTACCTTTAGTATATGATGCAATTATTATTAAAGGGAGCCACTTAATCAAAAGGGTTCTTGTAAAATTTATCATATTGCTACCAAATTATTAAATAATTTTTAAATAATTTCTATTGAAAGTCTTAACGACCTATTATTTATTGTGTCGCTATCGACATTCAAATATACAATAAATCTGTTATTTATATAATTTTTTGCTAACATCAATAAAATATATGTACATATAAAAAGAATATGATTTGCTTTTGTATGCTAATTGATACTGATAAGTTATTTTGTGAGAGGTAACGAAACTGTCAATCAGAAATAAATTAATTTTATAATTATCAGTTTAATTGAAATTATAATTCGATAATTAATACATATAGCATATTGGGAAAAATAACGACACAACTCAAAAATTTAACTTCGACTTCCGGAACTTAAAGTATTTATAGCCGAGTGTAAATTACTATCGAAGGCTAAAAAAACATTGGTATAGAACTATTCTGCAAGTATATGAACAAATTTTCTGTATTATTTTGTCTCTGAAAATCATTATATATTGAAAGATAATATAGTAATAAAAGAAAGTTTGCGACTCTGCATGTTGACCTATGTCGTTGTTCTCTCAAATGTGCGACATATGGAAATAGTTTATTACAGATAAAATATAAAACAACATAAAAATTTTCATAATTTAATATAATCTTAATTATGAAACGTCCGACTATTTGCATAAGAATTAATTAATCTATCTGAATTCAATTATAAAAGTGGTTTTCTATTGAAGAAATTTTTATAATTTTTCAATTTTGTTATATTGTCTCCAAATATTTTTCATTATCGAAATAAATTTTTTGTAAAAAAAATATTTAATAAAAGTTGTACATATAATTTAAACATTCAAAAAAAATATGTATTATATGTACATACAAGGACAGGGAAAAATGTTAAATTTGATCTGATTGTTTCATGAGCTCAACGAAATTTAACAATATTAAAAGCACAAGGCATGTATAAGTACATATAATAAATAGAACGATTTAAATAATTATAATTCGTTTTTGGAAATATACAAATATTTTACTCGTTAAATTATTAAACAATAGTGCAAAGATATTTATGGGAAATAAAAATAATTCAATTACAACTTAAAAAGAGTTAACAATAATATAACATTTTAGTTTAAAAAAAAATAAATATATAGAATTTATATAGAACATTTTTGATAATTCTTAAGACAAAAACTTTAATCAGCTGCTGTTTGATTGCATTTTAATATTTTATATTCATTTTCATATTCTTTTCTTATTTTCAAGTCACAGACATTGTAGCCTCTCCATATACAACCTTTAAACTCAAAGCTCTCGTTAGAATTTGTGTTACTGTATTCTACATCAAAACAATCATATTTCGGTGACGGAGGATATATATATTTACTTTTATCTGATTCCGGTCCCAACATATCATCTGTATTTATTATATTTCCAAACTTGTTGATCATCATTATTGTAACCTGATTATAGCAAGCCACTTTTCTATTAGGTAATTCCATTTCACCTTTCACACTGGGTATGAGGTACGGACAAATGGAATCTGCACGTAGCTCTAAATATAGAAATGAGATTTTTATAAATTACATATTTAACAAATATTTTTCACAATATTACTTTAATACTATAATACACAATTAACTTACAAGTTGTTTCGAATTATGTTACTTAAAGAATATCTTAACTTACCCCTGATATGAAAGCCGATAGTTAACATAACAAAAATACATTTTATTAAAGATGTTTTATTAAAATTCACCAAATTTTTTGAAAATGTTAAAAATTTTTTTATTTTTATTTTAAAGCAAAGTTAAAAATGTGGCTCTAGTAACGTTCAACAGTTCAATATTTTTTTTTTTTATATAAATAATATTTTATGCACTACCTTTTATCTTTCATATCAATTTATTGCATATAGATAAATTAGATTTCGAGATAGTTGATAATTTGAAATTATAATTACTTACCTGCCATAATATGATAATAAATATCGTAACATTCGAAGTATAAAGGGTTATGTTACATTCTAAATGTCAAGACAGTTAACGCTATAAAACTTTCCAATTGTGTATTTAACTTATAATATTCGTTAATGTAGAAATATTTCAAATTACTGTTAGTTACATTAATTATACATTTAAAAATAAAGCTTGAAACTTAATTCGAATATATTTTCCTGAAAAACTTCAAAAATAAAAATTCTTTATATTCTTCAATAACACAGGCTCAATGTTTACATGTATAATTAAAAATATTATAACTATGTGTAAGTTCGGCAAAGTATAAACTTTAAAGTTTTTGCAGTAATTTTTTCCAAACACAAGCTGCATATTATAATTAAAAATACCCATCCATTGATTTTATATTTGTTCACATATTATATAAGAGTAGTAATTTTAATTTGATCACAAGTACTACGTAATTCAATTTCTGGTTCCTTTTTTAACCGAAAAGCTGACTGATTCAGCAAACAGAGTTTACATCTATTACACCTATGTACATATTCTATTCTTGCTTGTGGCTTATGTCTACATATTGAATTCTTAGAAAAATCACAAAACCAAATTAATTTTAATCTTTTATTTACGTTATAAAATTAATTAATATATTTTTAAAAACATATTTTTTTCAATGAAATAAATGCTAACAATGCAAATGTAAGATATTTTGTTACATTTAAATTAGAACTTGAATTGGCTGCTTTTTGTTGACACTTTAATATTTTATAGGAATTTTCGAATTCCTTCCTTATTTTCATATCGCAAATATTATTGCCTCTCCACATGCAGCCTTTTAAAGTAAAATTTTTATTCGCTATTACAACATTGTATTCTATATCAATACAATCATATTTTGGAGATATTTCAATATTTGAATCTAACATAATTCCAAAATTATTTACTATTACTGATGTTATATAATTATCACAAGCTGTTGTACTATTATAATCAATTTCTCCTAGAACATTTTGTGCCAGCACTGGACAAACTGATTCAGCATATGAAGCTATTATATATTTAAATTATTATTTTTTTATAAATTTGATTATAGATTTATTTTATTAATGGCATTTAAAACCATTCTTTCTAGCTTACCTTTCTTACAACAACTTATAACCATTATTACGAAAACACATTTGATCGAAAATATTTTAAAATCAAGCATTTTATTTCAAAATTAATATAAGAAAGTAACTGTTCAATTAAATGTAACACAATCAACTTAATATTAAATTTCTACTGAAATTCAAAGTTGCAATATTTTTATATTTATATATTTTTTAGTGATTTTATCTTACCTTTATATTAGATATTAAAAAGTGGCAAAACATATAACATATTATTTGAACTTGGTTTATTCATTCAATTACAAATATTTGCACGAATTATCAATACATTATATAACGTACGAGTACACTGATAATTAAAAATTGACTTATACTACAATCAAAAATATTGATTGACATTATATTTGAAAATTTTCATATGATTGACATTATGATGGAAAATTTTCTCAACTTTTAACTTTAAATAGTGAACACTTACGTAGTAGCAATAAAATTCAGAGAAAATTACCTTTAAAAGAAATATCAAAAATTTAGGGAAATCTACATTCAAAATTAACATTATTTCTTGTCTTATAATTAAAAAAAAAGTTCGCTGTTTATACCCTTACAGGTGAAAGTTTTTATAACAACTAACTAATATAAGTGTTTCAAAAGAAAAACATGAAATATGCCCACTTCTTCTCCCAATTCTTAATTATTCATCAATATTTAAAACTATACCTTCTAATTTTGTTTAATTGCTCTATTTATTCATTTAGTTGTTGTTCATTAATGGGTTTCATATTATTTTAATAGTTCCGATTAATGAACAAAAAACAAATACGTACCTACATAAATACATAGTGTTTTAACTTAAAGTGAGAAGAAAAAATCAAACTGAATTTCGTTAATTAAAGTTTCTCAAAGTACGTTGAAAGAAAATTTTTTCACAAGTTGAAATCTTAGTTTTTATAGGCGTAATGTTTAAGAAATATAAGTACCTCATTTTTGTTCTAAGAAATATTTGAGTTCTGTGCTAAAATTAAAAAAAAATTTAATCAAAATTTCACATTCGAATTTTCCAGTTTAAATTTACCTATTATAACTCAATTAGACTCAAAGCTATATAGCAAAATTTGAAAAAATTTAAATATTCAATTTTCTTTAAAGTTTAGTTTATATTGTGCCGAAATTAATGTATGTACCTCACTTAATTCGAAAGCCATAGATAAAATTAAAAAATAAAATAAATTTTTTTTTTTAAACTAAATCTAATACGATGTCATAATTTTCTCGAAACACTATTTTGTGTTCAAATAAGTTTTTACTTCAGATCTATTATATTAGTTACTATGATATGCATGAACAACGAACTGCATATAGCAAAATCAGTTATTGACCAACACTCTAATTAAACTGATATAAAAAAAACACCTTCGATTCTTTGATAAAGTCAGTTCGTATATTGACAATATTAGAACAAACAAAATATATTTTTTGTATAGTACATCTTATCCAAAGGTAGATAATATTTGTATGTTTTCATTGATAAAATAACACTTGAAGTAGGTATTTATCTAGATAATATTAATATTTTATATGTTCATATTCATTCTAACAATTTTATAATATCCCAGTAACCACAACCTCAAAGACTTCAGAACTTTAAGTATTCAAAGTTGTTTACAACATTCCTTTGAATTTTTTGGTTGAGTGCCAGGGTATGTGGGTGTAGAAGAAATTGAAGCAACTGATGTCCTGAATCGAACCGCGCCCTGGAGAAATCTTCCGGGGCTGCAGTAGGCCAAAAAAAAGAAAATTATAATGATGAACATCTTTTGGATTTTTGTGTTGCTCTCGCTGGAAAGAGAACCAGTGATCTAAAACGGGCTCTGTAGGACCATGACCCGCACTCAAGGAGGGCACAATAGATTCTTATACGTGTTTGCTGTGCACTTTTACCCCGGTTTTACAAATCTACACCTATTTGGACTCCGTTTGAGCTACATAAATAACAAAAATTTTGAAATTAGTATAAATTCTAATTCTTACTACATGAATGCTAAATGTTATTACTAAAAATTGTAATTCTAAATTAATCAGTATATATATACATACATATATTTGCTCTTTGGTAGGTAATAAATCAAAAACCAGGAACACATAAATTTTTGAATTTTGTATCAACCTCATTGTATGGTAAGTAGATGTGTGGAAAATATAATAAAATTAATGAGGAGATGTGTTCAGCAAAATTTTCAAATGAAATCATTTTCGCAAAAAAAGCTTTGAGTGTATGTATGCTCCAAATTTCATATATTTCTAACAACTTTATACGAAATATAATTAAATATTTAAACAAGTATGTAACTAATTTGAAATTTTCATTCGAATTGATAAACCTTTTTCTTTTTTTAATATTAATAAATTCATTAACAACTCAGGTTTCCAAACATTAGAATAGAATTGTTCTCTAAATACATTAGCTATATTGATACATGCAAAAAAAAATCAGGTTACCGGAATTCTAAGAAAATCAGTATAAACAGGTTTTAACTATTTCAGATGGTCAACTAAAGTTTAAACAATTTTTTTTTTCTTATTTAAAAAAACCAAGCGAAATTTGATGCTACTTCCTTATTCATACTTCATAACCGCTTTCCGGCACAATGAATTGATCAAAACGTTTTTAAAAACAACAAACAATAAACAATAAAATCAAAACAAAATGTTATATCCGGTCGCGATCTCTCAAATAGTTTCTTTTTTTTCATATTGTTTATTTTTCCTTGTTTTGCATATAAAAACAAGTTTTAGGGCAATCTCACAAAAGAAAAACAAAGGTGAATATATGAGCTCGCACATATATAGAGCAATGATCAATTGAGATTATACCGTGACTAAATTTTAACATTTTTATTTTTAATCTAATTTTATAATTTCAACTTAATAACTTGTGTAAGCTACATATATTCTTTTTCTTCAATTAAAGTATTTTGTTACTAAATGGCAATTTTGGTCAATCTTATCTGAATGCATGCCATTAATCAAGCTTATAATTATCACGTACAAAATATTATAGCTGATTTTTATTTTGCATCAAAATTATTACTAAAATCGATTTTAAAATCGACTTTAAAAATTATCCACACAATCTTTACTTCTTAGAATTTCCACATTATCAAAATAAACCTTACAAATCCTAACATTTACATACATTTGTATACGTTAAAGTGTTCTTTTATTGTCCTTTAAAGTTAAAAAAAATTGCATATTAAGGTATGGCAGATGAGTAAAGAAGGAAAAAAAAGTAGAATAGTAGAAAATATGAAAACTTCCAAGTAAATTATAATATTAAGGTTAGCGGATATTAAAAATCACCATTATAATAAAGCAACAACAACATTTATTATTTTGATTTAGTTGCAACGATTTTTATTTTCATTCATATCAGTACTAATTTTGGAAACGTCAAAAAAAATAATATTTCGCGTAAAATTCTAGCTCCTGTTATATTTTATTTTTTTTAATTTCGCGAAAAAAGCGAAAATTATATACATATATAAAAAAACTCATTCATAACAAAAAAAAATACTAAATTAATGAATGAAGAATAATATTTTTTTGTATTTTTCTTATATTTTATTAATTTTGATTTCCATTGCTCTTTAAGAATGATATGCATGAGAAAAATGAACAGGAGCTGATCTTCAGCCATTATTGTTGTTTTTGGTACTGCTGCTGCTCTGCTGTTTTTGCTTCTCGCCTACATTATTAATAAAAATCGTGAGAAATTCATTTATATTAGTCCTTTTATCCTTATTTTTATCTTTTCTCGTTTTTTTTTTCTTTGTACATACAAAACCTTACAAAAATCAAAATTAAAAATAACAAAATGAAAAAAAAAAAGTAAATAAATTTGCAGTATTCAGGATATGATTTTATTCAAGGATAGTTTTGTTTAAAATATTCACACGATCATAAAGGTAAGATATTAATAAAAATAAGATGGTTATTTATCAAAAGCGAAAATTTAAACACATGTAAATAAAATTTTGAGAGAAAGTGTAAATTTTGATCATTAGAAAAAATTTATAATGTTCTACATACAAGTTAGGTGTTTGACGCAATACGTATTTGGTTATTGGGGTTGCAAAATGAATAGCCATGGACCATCGTGAAGGGTATATTAACTTTTGTGTTGAGTTTATAACCACTTTAAGAAGTTATCTGCGGTATATGGATATGTATATATATTATGTTAATGCTCAGACTAAAATTCTACATTGATTTAGACATATCTGCTCGTCCATCCGATCACACGATAACTCTAAAACGAATAACGCAAACACTACCAAACTTTCATAAACCATTTCTTTTCTGCCAAGACCGGACCGTATTGTAATTTCAACAATTCGGCCAACGAGTTCTGGTAGCTGCCATAGAACTCAAAGACATTTTTTAAACGAATATACATATATTTTCACATATATTTAACTTGCATTTCATTAACTTTTCATTGTATTTATACACAACTAACTTACATATATTCTGAAAATATTAATGGAGTAGTTACACTGGTTCGGGTTGCAGCCATATAACCCCATAATTTGATTTTAAATATTCGAAAAAATAATAAAGTTAGATTTATGAAACTTGGAAGTCATGTCATTATTATTATCCCTTCTTGCATACCTACAATCATCTATAAAAACTCAATTTTGTACTTCTTCAACTTAAAAGTGTAAATAAACAAGTTAATTTTTGATGTCGATGTATTTTAAATTTTCGCCAATTTCAACCATCTTTTTTTAGCTTAAAAATATAAAATGTATTTTATAAATTTATAATATGTACTTATATAAATAGTATTATTACTCATACAAATAGCTGATATACACATGGAAAAAGAAAGAAAGAAAAAAAAACAGAATAGAAAAAACGCATTTCGCGCACCTTTCTTCCGATGTAAACAAAAAGAACAATTCACTTCCGTTTTTCTGTTTATTTTTGTCACTGCTCCTTCCATTTCCATTTCCTTGTTATCTTGTTATTATCCTTATTCATCTTTTAAGGCTATTCCATTGAGTATGATTAAAAACTGAATTTAAATATATATGTACATATACGTGTAGGTGTAGGTACAATATTGTCAAACGTATATTTGAAGCAAAATTACTTGAAAGATTCTGATTTTAATTTGCAATAATGATACTCAAACTGTAAAAGAAGTAGAGAGTAAATTTAATCAAAAAATATTCTAATTTTTAGAAAATATTCTAATTTTCATACCATAGAATAATCTTAATATTTTCAATTTATATTTCGCCAATTCAGAAATGGATGTGTTTTTATTTTGAGAAGATTTGGAATACGAAATAGCTAAATGCGCTAAACTCTTAGACAACTTGTAAGTTATCCACGATAGTGTGTATTTTGAAACATACCTTGTTTAAAAGAAATATATGCATGAACATTTATACTTTATTACAAATCCTTAAAGTAATTTTCGATATTTTAAACCTTTACCCACAAGGTTGTAATAATCACGCTTTCTAAATTTCTATTAATAAAATATTTTTGTATCGTATTCACTTTAAGAAGTTCTGGTAAAAATTTTAGAATTGGCTAATGTTATAAATGTTACTAGAACGCTTTGGGATGTGTGCGTATATTTGGTAAGCAAAATATGCATATAATTTATATACACACATATGCGTACACATAATTTAAATATTTGAGTTCATACCTGTAGAATATGTACATATGTACGTACGTTCCCAAAAAAAAACATGAGCAGGTATAGAAAAAAATTTGTTAAAATCCAGGTGACTGTCGTGAAACGATTGAGTTTTTTTTAGATGCCTTGAACATTTCAAGTGAAATTGAAATGTAATATTCTCACTCATTTTTAGTTTGGATCATAGGATCAAGTAGAATAATATTACTGTTCTGAATTGCAAATACAACTTGCACTATAAAAAATAATAATATACGTGCATACATGCATTCATATATCTTTGATGGGCGGTAGTAGGAGTATAAGTCAATTTTTTGTAAAAACCTGATAAGTACACCAATGTAATCTAGAGCTCAAAATACATCTTCTATCAAAAATTCATAGCGCTACGACACTTACAAACCTTTGAAACAAATGCATTTAAATATATTGTTCAAAGCAAAAGTGAACAGTTTTATTAAGTTTTTTTGCTCTAGTGAAAAGTTGATATTTTTGACTTATACTCCTACTACCGCCCATCAAAGATATATTCTTTAAGCATAACTCAGTCTCACGAACAATTAACATTTCAATTTTCTTAGATCAGAGTGAAGAGCTCAATTATTACACGTTTTTGTAACTCTTGAGTGAAATTTTTAAGAGAAAACCGCGCTCTCAAAATAATGTTTTTGTAGGAACTTTTCTTGGTAAAATATTGTTTGACGTTTCTTTAAAGTCAAAAGTAAAATTCAAATTTCACGCTAATTTTTAAAAGGTAACATCAATATAATGTCAACAATAAAAAATTGCAATTGGGATAAATTTGATGAATTTTAAGTTTTTTGTTTCGGTTTTCACCAATAAATTTCACCGGACAGAGCTTATACATAAAGAAATTGCTCGACACATGCTTTTAAAAAGAAGTTGGCAAAAAATGTTTGCTATATTGACAATTTATTAGATTTTTAAAAAGAAACATTTTATTAAACAGTGCCATGAAGATAATTCGAATTCACAATAGCACAATCATAGTATTGTAATAATATACAGCTTAGTGCAATACTACCGTAATAGTAATGACTATAGTTTATAACTTTCATTACAATTTTTTATTATTAGAGGGTTCATTGTATAATTTTTGATTTGATGTAATATTTAGAACACTATTGAAAAGGGTCTAATGTCTGCAAAGAATATATATTTAATAAAAATCCAATAAGCTGTGATGAATACCTTTATATAATACAAGCTTAAATTAATTTAAAAATCCAATATATGTATGTGATGATCAGAGGCATACCTTTCATATTCTAACTACATTGTCGTTTTATTTTATTTCACTCATTCTTTCAGTCACTTTTTATCGCAGTGCAAATTGAAATATGTATGTATATATCTGTAGCTTTAGAGTCAAAAAAAATTTCACTGTAAAACTACAAATATACTCACCAGATCTCTCATAGTGTTCAACTGCAGTTTCCGTTATGTTTTAGTGTTAGAACATATACATATTGCAAAGGTAGCAAGCTAAAAATAAATTTCTCTGTCTCTCAAAAATATTGAAAATCTATGGTAATCAATGTCCATGTATACTTTTAGTTCTTTTTTATATTTTATAACAAAAATATTTGTTATTCGTTAATTGATTCTGCTTTGATACAAAATTGAATTAAAAGTATTTGCATATACTTTATTTTAATTTAGAATATCTGTATTTATGCGTCTTGTTTGGCGCAACAAATCACTCATAAAATTATGAACTCGTGTTATTTATGAACATAATTCCACAGCTCATGTTATGTGCTATGAAATAAAAAATTAGTCTTATTTAAGCAAAATGAGCCAAAATTGAAAAATAACATGCTTTGTTTTAGAATTTAAATAAAGCACCTCTTTGTAGTTCAATTTCTACTTACTTCAATTTATTTTTATAGCTAATTTCCAATTTTAGTTTTTTATTTAATTTTTAACATTAGATTACGTCCTGTAAGGCCTGGAAGGTTTTCAGGATATAAATAATATTTGAAGTCAAATTTTTAGCAAAAGTATACAAGAATATATAAAAGTTACAACATAACGGGGACATGAAAAATTCTGCAACATTTTCACTAGTTGACAAATAAAACGATAATCTGATATTGAAAGAGTAACACAATTTTATAACTAAATTTACGGCCTCGTTATATTTTTATAATCAAATTTTATATAACAAAAAAAAAAGATTTTGAAAATGAGCAAAATACGGCTTATTACGAAAAATGGGCCGTTTGGCAAAAATTATTTTAAATAAGTTTAGAAAAATAGGCCATGCTTTTTTCGATTTACCACCCACAAACATTTTGTTTTAACAAAACAATCAATGACGTCATTTAAAAATCAGAAATAAAATTTACAACAGGGCTATTTCAGAATTTATTCACTTGTAAATAAACTTGTACTTTACTTGTAATAAATTTTATTTCCTGTGGAAATTTTGTAAAACTGCAATAATAAGAAAAAAAATTATGTTGGAAATTCACTTTTTTTAACTTATTTATGCATATTTGATCTAGTGTGTAATGTGTAGTAAAGCATTGCTACACGTATAAAAAACAGCCTATCTCTATATTATTCTTAAAGCAATTAATTAATTTGCAACACATCTGCTCTGCTATTGCTATGTCTCTCTTTTTTATTTGGTCAGCAAACCTAACTTAGTATACTTCTCTTTTATGTATGAAAATGTAGTTAATGGTATTTCTCTGCTGTGTTTCTCTTCATTTTGCTTGGTTTATATGTTGTGTTGCACTTTTTCTTCATTGGAATATGGGAATTGGATAAGAAAAAAAAATGCAAAATTATGAATGATACAAGTACAATGAGATATAATATGCATGGATGTACATATTACAATTTATAATGCTTGCACTACAGCAACAGAATTGAGATGAGCATGAGATACATATTTGAAGTAGAGCATTGAAAAACATTATTTAATGCATCAACCGTTAGTGTTACATATCAGTTATATTTGTAGTAAAGCAGCTACGTTTTACAATTGATTTCCACTTTTATTTTTGGTTTCTTAAAAATTTGATTATAAAATATGAAGTTTTGATTTGAATTTTTAAATCTGCTCGAGAATTAAATGTGTATGTGTTTATGAATTATAATCTAATCATAGACACAAATTGAAGATAATTTGATTCAAGCGAACATTTTATGCATAACTGACGATATTTGATATATAATTCCGCTTAGCATTAATTATCGAAAATTTTTTACTTTTGGTAGCAATAGTTCTATAAAAAGCTATTTAAGAAAAAATATCACGAAAAACATTAGAGCACTTATATTTTATTTATATGATTTAAAGAACGTTTATGTATATACTGTTATGCGGACGTTTAAAAAGTCACTGTTTTATGGTAGAACACCTAGATAAGCAATGAAAACTGCGACACTAACACATATTTGTTTCTTGTTTAAATGGAGCAAACTGCTTTGTTTGATTCGGCACATTAATAAATGCAAATCCTGAATTACTCTAACTTTAATCGATTGACGTCAATTAAGGCAGTTGAAAATATATTCTTTAGCTTTCCTTCTAAATTTTAAGGAGAGTTGTTTGTTTTAAATATAAAATCTGTTATTCAGAAGTCAAAATAATACAATAGTTTCAATACATTGAAGCAATGAAATAGATTTCTTTTATAAAAATGATTCGAGCTCAGAATAAAAATTATGTGAATATAATATTCATATCAAGAATTTTTTTTAATTTGAAATCTAACTGAAAATATTCTAATTAATCAAATTTTTTAAATATGAAATTGATTAAATGTTACTTAATTAATTTTTAATTAAGATTATTTATTTATTTTCTTTTACTACTAATTTTCTACTACTTTGAAAAGCAGCACGACTATTACACTTATTAACGCCACAATTATGTAGCTATTCACAAAATGCAGTCGAAACGAAAGAGCAAAAAATAAAATTATTGTTGAATTTGTATGGTTTGTTTCAATTCGTTTTCGTTTCTAAAAAGTTATCAACAAGTAACCAAGTCTACAATACAATGTATTGAAGTAAAGTACATAAAACATTTTTTTGCTGCTAGAATGATTTCGGTATATGCCTTGTGGTTTATATGAACGATTTGTTTGTTGCTTGCTGTAGTGTAGCGAAAAGAAAGAAGAGAAAGAGAGTCCAAAAGATAAAATAAAATAAAAAAAAGAAGAAAACATAAAATAGAGGAATAATGAAAAAAAAAACATGAAAAATGAAAGAAAGAAAAGAAATGAAAAGCAAAAGGAAAATATAAAATAATGAAAAAAATGAAATCGCTATGGCTATCGCATCGCGGTTCTCAGAAAATTTTACCATGAAATGAAGTTAGTATTGAAGTATACGTGAATGAGACGGGTTAATTGGAGTTTTAATTTGCGGATATATAGATTTGTGTTATAGCTTGATATTGAAAATTGTGCAGTTACTCCAACTAAAATTTTGCATACTTTTTTTTTATTTTATAATTTTAAAAATATGTGTCGGCATTAAAAATTATTATGAAAAACTGAAGAAGCATTATAATAGAAAAATAATTTCTTTGTAATTTATAAAAGAAACAAAAAAAAAATAGCAAAAATTAGTAAAATTATTTTCTTTCAAAAATAAAATTACAAAAATTACCGGTGGAATATAACAAAAATTACAGTTATCAAGAGAGAAGGCAGACTATGCCCAGCAAGAGAAATTTCAAGGATTACTTAAAAAAGTTTTATGATCAATCATTCGTTTTGTTTTTGGATTATACCTACTAATTATAATATTTTTATGTGAATTGAAATAAAATTTCAACAATTTATTGTATTTTCATAACATTCTAAATACAATATAAAAATATAAAAAATATTAATATTTTTGTGCCAGAAAGATAGTTAAAGTGAAAATTTATAAAAGATTATTTTGAATAAAAAAAAAACAAGAATATTCGGGAATTTGTACTCAAATTCTCTTAAAATATTTTTTAGTATTTGCCGTTAATCGTACAACATTCGATTCTAATAACAAGTGAAATTTTATTGGTCAATTGATAATTTTTGTTTATAAATTTTATACTGACAACTCTAATTTAAAAAAACAAAAAAAAATACCAAAATACACAATTAGACCATGTGCTTTCAAAATCATTAAGTAAAAAAATATTAAAAAAAATTAAAATTTAAAGTAATAAAAGGATTCAGTTTTCCACTAAATTTGAAAATTAAAAAAGATAATAAATTTATTTTAAAATTTTTTTTTTCAAAAATACCTAAATAATTTTTAAAACAATCATTAGTGTTGAAAATTAATTTAATTTGCAAGTGGGAGACGCTTAACACTTTTTCTGTCTGTGACAGCATACCATGCTAAAATTTCCATATATTATTAGGAAAATATTAAAATAAAATAACAAAATTTAAAAAAGTATAAAAATTAATAATTGAAAAGAAGAAAAAATAAATGTATCTAAAATACAGGGTGTACTATAAAGTGTTATTTTAAAAAACAAAATAGAAAAATGAATATTTAATAAGTTATTTTTTGTTTTTTTTTTTTTAATTTTATAACAAAGAAAAGTTTTTCCTCATAAAATTATTTTACCAAATGAAAAGTAAATTTTACTAAAATAAAATGTGCACACAATGTAGATTATTATGAAAATGACGAATTTCCATTGAAACTTAAAAGAAGTTCTTCTTCAACATCAAAGCAAAAAATATCTGCCTACTTTTAACTAAATTAATTTAATCTAGTTTATAATTAAAAAAATATATCTAACCTTCTAATTACCAACTTATTTCTATCTTCTTATACTATACAAGTTACTTAAAAAAAATATAAGTAATCAATAATAATTTTTTTATTCCGAAAAGATCTCAAAATAAATAATAATTATCAAAATATTAAGTTGATTAACTTAAATTTAAAAAAAAAAAAAGTAATTTAAATACTTACTTGCGCTGCATATTTTTTTTTTATTTATGAAAAAATTCTATTGTGAAAAATTAATAAAAATATAAGAAGTGATTTTAAAATTTATAACAATTAAATATCTATACATACATATATAATTGCACACATGTTACCTAGCTACTAGTAAAGCCAACTTATCGGCTTTTAACAATTAAAGGATATAAATGCTTATACTAGTTTATATTTTAGTATAATGTGTATATGTATGTCTAAAGTATAAAATTATATAAGGAATCTTTATTTAACAATAATCCCCCCCACCCATAAGTGATTTCTAAATATAATTTATACATATGTATATATATATGTTTACGAATATATATATCTATATATATATACAATAAATTTTTAATATATAATAATTAAGAAAGGTGAAGAAAAAAATTCAATCGAACACAATTAAAATTAAAAAAAAACAAAAAACAGTCAAAATGCATTGGATTAAATTATTCTTGTTTGCATGGATTTTTACTTTAGTGATATTCATTAATCAGGTAAGCAATAATTTAATGACAAAATTTTATTTTCATTTTAACTAAATTGAAAAATTTATTTATTTATTTAATGATAAAAGTAATATACAATATTCATTTATGGATGCATATTTACAAAAACTTAATTTCTTATTTTAAAAGAAGAAGAGGTTTTCTGAAGGTGTAACTAGGCAACTACCTAGGTATACTTACCTTTGTTCGTTAGAATTAATGTGAAATTGTCATTGGAATTTATTTTTGCAAATAGAAATAGAATGTATGTCAATACGGCCAGTTCCGTTTTATTTTACTGAATTAACTACCTAGATACCCAATTGTAAAAATTACTTTTTTATATTTTTTTCAAAACATAACTACTTAAAGCAGATGTACATACTATAATTTAATTACGATATAATTTTAGTAAAACAAAATTTAATTCGATTCGTATCTTAAGTAAAATTAATATATTATTTCACTTACTTAGTACAAATAATTTTTATGATAACTTACCTACATATGTATGTAAGAAAATTATTAGAAATCGATTAGTTATAAATTGATTATAGCTACAGGTTGCATAGAAGAAGATCATGATCAAATATTTATTTGGTTTATTATAATTATTTATAGGATAATAAAAATACTTAATTAATAATAAATAAATTATTATTATAAGAGTATTCCTAATTCGAAATTATTTTTGAAAATTAATTTTAAATTAAAAAATTTTGAAATAATTTTTTTGATGTACTTCTTCATTTATGTAAAGTAAATAATTTTTTTTGTTTTAAAATATGATTTTGCTATCACTTATGCAAAATATTTTAATTTTGCTGATTTTTGCCTGTCTCAAAAAAATAAAAAATGAACGTATTATAAAAAGTTTTTTTTTACCTTTTCTCTTTTTCCTTTTGATGTTTCACCCTTTTTTTTTACAAAAGAATTTTTACTTCAGTAGTTCGTTTTTATTGTGTTTTTGCTCTTTTATAGAAAAAAAATAAGTTTTTTTTTTTTCATTTTATTGTTTTACCTTCCCTAATTTACTATTTATGCATGCATACCGTTGATAATGTGTGCACCTCGGAATAAAAAAAAAAAGTAATATGTGAGTATGTAGTTAAAATATAAAAAAATAAAAAATGACTTTGTCTGTTTTTTTTTTTTTTTTTTTTTGTATTTAATTTTGTCTTGCTTTTTTCTTATAATTTTCGGATAAAAATTGAAAAACATCTGCCCCTGTTTTGATGCAACAGCTTAACCTTATTAGTTCTGTCGTTGCAGTTTTTATAATATCGCATTCATACTTATAAGTACATGTGAACGTATAAATATATAAAGGTCAACCTAAAAATACTTAATGATTAGTATTACACATAGGTACATAAATATATATATATATATATTTATTTAATATGAAATAAGTAAATATATAAGTGTTTTATGTTTAGTAACTTATATACGCTTAATTGTATTGGAAAAATGAAATTTTACAGTGCATAAAAAAGGAAAATTTAATATTCTTAGTAAATTTCATCGTTTTGGAGAAATTAAAAAAACTGGCAAAGAATGAAAAAAAAACAAGTTACTAAGTATATAAAAAAAGAATTTAAATTAGAATCTAGATAAGTATTCAAAGTTGAAAAGATTTCTAGTATACACAACTAAGTATATAGGAACGTACCTACTTAATTAAATATTGTATATGAAATGATATATTTTCTTACTTAAAACTGTTTAGTACAATAATTCTAAGTTAGTATTTTCTTTCATTTTAACATAAATTTCATAGATATAGGCACTAAATTAAATAATAATTATTTCTATATTTTTATAATTACTATTAAAATTAATTACTTTCACCTTAAAGGTTAATTCTTATATTTTTTCACACCACTTCTATTTTTCGACCGCTTGTTATTTAAAAATATTTTTACTTACATAGGTTTGCAAAATTTTTTATTTTAAAAAATAAGTTTTTTTTTTAACCTTTTAAGTATTGTACATATTTTCATACCGGTCCTTCCACCTCAAGTATAATTTTTTAAATTAAAAATCATTTTTTTTTTGACTTATTTTTTAAACATAAATATCATGGAAAAATATTAAAATAATGATTTTATTATACACTTTACTTACTTATTTAAAAAAAAAGTATATTGTGCAAAATTATAGGTACAGTCGGCTGTTTTTTGATAATTAAAGATTTTGGAATACTTAACATACTTGTAAATTTCAAGGAAATTCATAAACTTAATGAATTTGTCATAAAGAAGCGTATTATTGGGGGTTTTTGGGTAAAATTTGGAAGTTCTATTTATGTATATATGTGCGTAATTACTTTTCTGTTGTGATTTTTTATTGTTGCCAAAATGTATAATTTTCCTTCAAGTAACCGTATACTTAACGCCAAAATCTCAAAAAGAAAAAGTTCACTCGTGTCAAAAACATTATCACACTTCTTATTTCTATATTTTTTACAAGTATTTACATGTACTGAATCATATAAAAGTAAATTGACTCACTTAAGCTTAATGTACTAACTGACACGGGCGATGTTAATTAACAAATTATTTCATGTAATTTAAGTAAAAATAATGTACTCTTTAAAGTTGGAAACTTTTTACAATTAAAAATTTTAGATTTCAAAATGTTAAATTTATTTTTTTTTTTTGAGTGTTTAATAATGACGAAAGAATCAAGTAAGTGGTAAAATAAACTAAAGAATTAAGTATTATTTTAAAAATCCTTGAATTTGGAAAATTTTTAAAGTAATAGTATGGCATCGAATTTAATAACGATTTCCGTCGGATAATTTCTTAGATTCTGGATGCCAATAGCAAATTAATTACTTATAAAATGTAGTACTATTACTTATAAATGTAATAGTTTGTACTAATTTTTAATTTTGACAATTTCTATTTAATATTATAACAATTTTTGGACATGATTTTTAAATCACCTACTTAGTAACGTTATTTGTAGAAAGATATTTATTTAAATAAAAATGTTTCAAAAATACCGTGATATCACTGATGTTCTAATAACTAATATATAACGAAATATTTATAAGTAAATATGTAAAAATAATTTGAAACGTTCATGGAAACTTTTGAATAAAAAAAAATAGTAGAAAAGAAAAACTAGGTTGATTTCAATAAGAATTAAAATTTCTTAAAGTTTTTTAATATTATAATTCATAAAAGAATTATAAATTTGCGTGTTATGAATGAATATTTAACATACATACATACATAGCTATTTACTATCTTTTCCTCTTTTTTTAACTTGATTGTAAACGTAACTATTGTATATACTTGCTTATATTATATAAATTTGACTTGCATAGGAAAAAATGTTTACTATCTATACATATGTACATATATACGTATATATGTAATTGTACTTATATTTGCATCCATTTATTTTTTTTGTGGTTAAATACCGTAAATTTACTATTAAAACATAAAATATGTAACATGTATATAATATACTTTCATATTAAGTATACTTACTTATTTGTTATTCAATAAATTATTTCAAATGAAATCATAATTCAAAACGAAACAGAAATGGAATTCCATAATTTTTAACTGAATAAATAATTATGCCCAGGAATAAAAACTTCTAACAAGTGATTTTGTGTAAATATATAAGTAGACTACAAATTTACATATATAAAATTGCCATGTTATAAGGCATGATATACTTAACATAAATCATAGTTTTGTGTTATAGGAACGTATACAAAAATGTTCCGCAATAAATTTAATTAATTTTTGCATACGGAAGCAGATACACTTTGGAAGCTTAAAATTTGTAAAAGGTAATCGAGTGAGGATTATGGTTCCATAATTATATGATAATTGCCGTTTCTTTTTAAACTAAAAGAAGAGTATAATTAATTATATGGGTTGCAATAATTTAAAAAAAAAATACAAGTATGTAAGTACATGTGCAAATATTATTGTTAAACACTATAAAATTTTTTCACATTTGATCAAAACCGCCGTTGTAAGCTTAAAAATATTATTTTTTATAATAAGTAAATAAAAACTTAATTTAGGTAGTTGTGTTTGAGAGTTTCGGTTCGTTTTTTATTTCCTTAGAAGTTGTGATTCGATTAAATCAAAATTAAATTTCTAATAATATTAATATTTGTATTCATTACACAAAATTATGTGGTTTATTAATGTTTTCCCTTAAAAATCAATTTAAAACGCAAGAAAATAAAGACATATTTTTTTTAAATTAAATTCCTTAACGTTTCCTTCTATTTAGTTTTATTACAAATTTTGTTAAGAAAAAATTCTACACATAAATTTTTACAAGTAGACGACTAGCGAAATCTTACACACATTTAAATACACGAATATCAATAAATTACTTATTTCTATTTTAAGTATCATTGCATATTTTTCTACGTATGTACTTATTAAGTATATATACATGTATTTATATCATGAGTATCTAGTTAAATTTTTCGCTTTGAAAATGGAAAGTAAGAGATTTTGTAAAAAAAAAATCTTTATACTTACTTAATAAAATTTTATAGAACAAAATCCTTAAAGCGTTTACACATTATTGATAAACTAAAAAATTAGTTGCTATTATACTTAGGCACATTTAACTGCACATATGACTAAATAAGTATTATAAGTATATTATGTTGTATATACTTAAATACTTACTTATTTACAAGTGAATCCTTGCTGTTTGAAACTAAAAAAACCGGTATTTTTCTTTTTTTATTTTTGTTCTTTAAAATATAATAGTTAGCTGATGGCGATAAATTTATGTGAGAATCTAAATAAAAATTTTCTCATCACCTTTATTTTATTTTTTCGTTTAGTTTTTTTTTTATTTTGTTTTTCCTTTATTGGATTGAATTGTGAAATTTTTGTTGAATTTTCTTAAGGCGAAAGAAAAAATATTTTCTTCTTAGTTTTAACTCTTTTTTTTAAATCAAAGCATTTAAGTACGTACTTAGGGTGCTTATTTTTTTTTGTGAAATATCTGAA